TTTCCAGACGACTGAAACGTAAAACATGCACAGACAATGGAGGTTTGCTCAGTTTTCTCCTCCCGTTGGGAAAAGTCCGACCAGTTGCTTGGAACAAGAATTAACCTTCACCCTTCATCGTTCAATTTTAGCTTGAACTATAGTTAAGGTCGTGCACACGATTAATATATCGATTGTACAATCTGAGTAGTGTAAAGACAGCAAACTGTGCATTGGAACGTTGCAGTGACTTGAACTTGCCTGACGAACCCAACAGCATAATTTTCATTATTTTTTCAACTGTAAATTGCTGTAAAAATTGCACGTCGTTTATCTCGCTTTATCAACTTTCAATTTCCCTCCTTTCAGACTCGTCAATGAGATTTCAGTGGTTTGAGATAATTCTAAGTAATAGGGAATCGTAAGTTTGGAAACAGTGGAACTGAAATATTTACAAAATGGATAATACCATAATGTCGGTTAGGTTGACAATTTGGGAGTTAGTGGAAATTTCAACCTTCAACCTATGCTTAGTAAAGGACATTTCTCAACCTCAAATTAAAAGGCAACAGATGAATTTGAGGTAAAAAAAATGTACCAGGTGACTCACCTAACTTGACGACTTAAAATTACCCGTAATTATTAGCTGTACAAGAGAATATACCAAGTAAACGTTGCAGGATATTCTGTTTGAAAAATAAATCCAAATAATCTTCGAAACTGAAAACTTTTATTTCAACGTATGTGAAATAGTTTACACGTTTAAATAAATCACCCTGTATACACTGCTAGAATGTATATTACTAATTCCGTGCTCAAATGTTTCCACCGGCAGATTCGAAATCGAAATTTCCAAGTACCGAAAGATTCTTGTAAATTTCCCCGGGTAAACGAAGCGCGCGTGAGTTTGTAACTTTAAAATTGCAAACTAAAAGTTGGAAAGTTTTTCGCCGATCTACATCGATTCGGTGCACGCTTGGGAAAAATTTCTGTACCTTCGACTCGATTAATTTCGGTTCCAATACGCCCAAGTTGGAGGAAAGAAAGCTCGTAATTTTCAAACGTGATCGATACTGCCCGTAATTTGAATTCAAAGTGAGATCCTCCCGGCGATTTCAATGCGCATTCGACGTGGTCTTTTATGCCTTTTCCTTCCCCCTCGAGCCTTCTTTTAGCCAGTGGAGAAAAAAAGGTTTGCTCATT